ACCCCCTCCCACAGAGTTTGTATTATTACAGAAGGTACAAGGGACCATTAATGTGCTTAGAGTCAGCTATGGTTTCTTCTGTTAACATGGGATCCTGTCCCCACTTAACTTCCTTTTGATTTAAAAAATTTTGATGTTTTATTTTTGAGAGAGAAAGAGAGAGAGAGAGAGAGAGACAGCATCAGCAGGGGAGGGTCATAGAGAGAGGGAGACACAGAATCCTAAGACAGGCTTCAGGCTCTGAGCTGTCAGCACAGAGCCTGATGCAGGGCTCAAACCCACGAACCATGAGATCATGACCTGAGCCAAAGGCGATGCTCAACTGACTGAGCCACCCAGGCGCCCCTTTTGTATTATTGCAAAGGGTACTTGGGACTGTTGATGTGCTCTAAAGGCAGCTGTGTGGTTCCCTATGTTACTGTAGGATTCCATTCTCTCCAACTCCCTATGCATTACAGCAGAGGGCACTTGGACCCTTTAAGGTGCTAAAGTGCAGCTATAGCTTTTTCTGTTAGTTTATGTTCCCATCCCCTCCTATTTCCTTTGCATTGCTGCAGCGGCTACTTGGGACTGTTAATGTGCTTTATTGCAGCTACAATCCCTTCTGTTAGTCTAGGATCCCATCCCCTACTAGTTGCTTTACATTAGCACACAATGTACATGGGACTGTTAATGTGCTTAACTGCAGCTCGGTCCCCTATGTTAATGTAGCATTCCATCTAACACCCTGTGCATTAGAACAGAGGGTATTTGGCACCTTTAAGGTGCTTAAACATAGCCGTGGTGCCCTCTGTTAGTCTAGGATCCCATCCCCCTTCTACTCCCCTTACATTACATGGCACGGCATTTGGGACTGTTATTGTGCATAATTGCACTTACAGTTCCTTCTCTTAGTCTAAGATCCTATGCCTTCTCATTTCCTTTGCATTAGACCAGATGGTATTGGGACTGTTAGTGAGCTTACTTGCAGCTATAGTCCCTTCTGTTAATCTAGTTTCCCATGCATTCCTACTTCTTTTGTGTTATAGCAGAGAGTACTTGAGACCTTTAAGGTGCTTAGGAGCAGGTATGGCTCCTTCAGTTAGTTTATGTTTCCATCTCCTCCTACTTCCTTTGCATTACTGCAGAGGCTGCCTGGGACTGTTAATGTGCCTAATTGTCACTATTGTCCCTTCTGTTTGTCTAGATTCTCACCCTCTCCTGCAAGGATTGCATTAGCACAGAGGATACAAGGGACTGTTACGGTGCTTAAATGCAGCTACCATCTTTTCTGTTAACTCAGGTTCTCATCCCCACGTAATTCCCTTTGCATTATTGCAGAGGGTACTTGAGATGTTAATGAACTTATTGTAGCAATGGTCCCTTCTGTTAGACTGGGAACCCACCCTCACAAACTCCCTTAACATTATTAGGAGAGTACACCTGGGACTGTTAATGTACATAAATGCATCCACAAACCTTTATGTTAATGTAGGATTCCATCCTTGCCAAACCCTCTAATGCACTACAGCAGAGGGTAGTTTCAACCTTCAAGGTGCTTAAATGCAGCTATGGCCCCTTCTGTTATTTTATGTTCCTGTCCTCTCCTACTTTGCATTACTGCCGAGGATACTTGGGATGTTAGTGTGCCTAATTGCTGCTACAATTCCTTCTATTATTCTAGGATTCCATCTCATTCCACACTGTTTGCATTACCACAAAGTGTACAAGAGATTGTTAATGTGCTCAAATGCAGCTAAGATCTCTTCTCTTAATCTAGGACCCCGTCCCCACCTAACTCTGTTGGCATTATTGCAGAGGCTACTTGGGACTGTTCATGTGTTCTAATGCAGCTGTGGTCCCACTGTTAGACAAGGATCCCATCCCTAACTGCTCTCTTTGCATTATCATGGAGGGTACATGGGACTGTTAATGTGCTTAAATGAAGCCATGGTCCCTTAAGTTAGTGTAGGATTTCATCCTCTCCAACTCCCTGTGCATTACAGCAGAAGGTGGTTGATACCTTTAAGGTGCTTAAATGTAGCTATGGTGCTTTCTATTAGTCTAGGATCCCATCGCCACCTAATTGCCTTTCAATTACAGCAGAAGGTACTCAAAACCTTTAAGATGCTTAAATGCAGCTACAACCCCTCTGTTAGTTTGCATTCCCAAACACTCCTACTTACACTTTCCATTATTGCAGAGGATACTTGGGACTGTTAATGTGCCTAATTGCCACTCACTCCCACCTATTTGTCTATAATCATATCCCCCCCTAAATGTTTGCATTTCTACAGAAGGCACAAGGGACAATTAAGTGCTTAAATGCAGCTACAATGTCTTCTGTTAATCTAGGATCCTATCCTCTTACTTGGTTTCCATTGCCATGGAAGGTACAAGGTACTGTTAATGTACATAAGTGCTGCTATAGTCCCTTCTGTTTGTTATGATCCTGTCATCTCCTACAGGGTTTGCAATACCACAAAAAGTACAAGGGGACTGTTAATATGCTTAAAGGCAGCTAAGGTCTCTTCTTTAACCTAGGATTCCATGCCCACCTAATGTATTTGCATAATTGCAGAGGGTACTTGGGACTGTTAATGTGCTTAAATGCAGCTGTGATCCCTTTTGTTAATATAGGATTCTAGTCTCTCCAACTTCCTATGCTTCATAGCAGATGAGACCTTCAAGGTGTTTAAATAGAGCTATAGTGCCTTCTGTTAGTCTGGGATCCCATCCCCACCTAACTCCCTTTGCATTACAGCAGAGAATACTTGAGATCTTTAAGATGCTTAAATGCAGCTATGCCCCCTTCTGTTTATGTTCCCATCCTCTCTTTCTTTGTATTATTGCAGAGTATACTTGGGACTGTAAATGTGCCTAATTACTGCTATAGTCCCTTCTGTTTGTCTAGGATTCCATCCCCTCCTACAGAGTTTGCATTACCACAGAGGGTAGAAGGGACTGTTAATATGCTTAATTGTAGTTAGTCCTTTCTGTTAGACTAGGATTCCATCTCCACCTACTCCATTGCATGTTTAAGTGCAGCTACAGCCCATATGTTAGCATAGGGATTTCATCCTCTCCAACTTCCTATGTATTATAGCATAGGGCATTTGGGACATTAAAGGTGAGAAAATGCAGCTATGGCCCCTCTATTAGTTTATGTTCCCATTCTCTCCTACTTCCTTTGCATTACTGCAGAGGATACTTAGGACTTTTAATGTAGGTAATTGGTACTACAATCGCTTCTGTTAATCTAAGATCTCATTCCCTCCTACTTGCTTTGCACTACCACAGAGGGTACAAGGGACTGTAAATATGCTTCCGTGCAGCTCCTGTCCCTTACGTTAGTGTCGGATTCCATCCTCACCAATTCCCTATGCATTACAGTAGAGGGTAGTTGGGATCTTTAAGGTCCTTAAAGGCAGCTATTGTGCCTTCTGTTAGTCTAGGATCCCATCCCCTCCTACTGACTTTGCATTACTGCAGAGGATACTTGGAACTCTTAATGTGTTTAATTGCCACCAAAGTCCCTTTAATTTGTCTAGCATCCCATCACCTTCTATTTGCTTTACATTACCACACAATGTACATGAGACTGTTGATGTGCTTAACTGCAGCTCTGTCCCCTATGTTAAATGTAGCATTCCATCCAACTCCCTATACATTAGAACAGGGGGTACTTGGCACCTTTAAGGTGCTTAAACATGTATTACCTGGTATTATCTTTGGGACTGTTAAAGTGCTTAGTTGCAGCTGTGGTCCCTTTTCTTAGTGTATGGTCTCATCCCTTCCTACTCACTGCATTTCCTGGGAGTGGATTTGGGACTAGTAATGTTCCCATTTGCAAGTGTGTCCATTTTGTTAGTCTGGGGTCCCATGTCCTCTAACTCCTGCATACAGCAGAGGCTATTTGGGACTCTTAATATGTTTAATTTTAGCTGTGGTCCCTGCCAATAGTTTAGGATCCTTTGTATTATCAGGTGATATTTGGGACTAAAAGTGCTTAATTGCATCTCTGCTCCCTTCTGTTATAGGATCTCAGTGTTCTCCAACTCCCTATGCATTATAGCATAGGGCATGTGGGACTGTTAGGGGGTTTAACTGTAGCTGTAGTCCCTTCTGTTAGTCTAGTATCCCAAGAGCTCCAACTGCCTTTGTGTTACCTGGGAGTGTATTTGGGACTCTTAAGTGCTTAATTGCTGCTGTGGTCCCTTCTGTAATTCCAGGATCCCATCCCCTCCTACTCTGTTTACATTACCTGAGAGGATTTTGGGGACTGTTAAAAGAGACCACATAACTAAATTAGTATAGTTTCCCATGCCCTCCTGTTCTCTTTAAATTACAACAGATGGTACTTGGGACTGTTTAAGTGCTAAACTTCAGGTGCAGTCCCCTCTCTTAGTCTAGGATCTCCTGCCCTTCTCCCTTTACATTATCAGAAGCAGATTTGGGAATGTTAACGTGCTTATTAATTACAGTTGTCGTCCCTTCTGTTAATCTAGTTTCCAGTCCCTTCCAACTCCCTTCGCATCACCTAGAGCAGATTTGGGACTATTAATATGCTTCATTGCAGCTGTGTCCCTTTTTTAGTTTAGGATCCTATGACTTCCCACGCCCTTCACATTACCTGGAAAGGCATTTGGGACTGTTAAGGTGCTAATTGCAGCTGTGGTCCCTTCTGTTTTAGTCTAGGATCCCATTCTCTTCTACACCCTTTTCATTACTTGGGAAGGTTTTTTTGGACCCTTAAAGGGCTTGCTGCAGGTGTGGTCCTTTCTGCTAGACTGGGATCCATGCTCTTCAACTTTGCTTGGGTTACCACTGAGGGTACTTGGGACTGTGGATGTGGTCAAATGCAGGTTTGGTCCCTTTTCTTGGTCTCAGATCTCATGCCCTCCAACTCCCTTTACATTATCCAAGAGGGTACTTGGGACAGTTTTTGTGCTCAGTTACAACAGTGGTCCCTTTTTTAGTCTATGATCTCATCCCTTGCCCCCCCCCCCCCCCCCCCCCCCCCCCGCTCCCAGCAACTCCCTTTGCATTACCATGGAAGGTACTTGAGACTGTTCAGGTGTATCCCATTCTCTCACACTCTGTTAGCATTATAGTAGGGGGTGCTTAATACCAAGGCCTTCCTTTTTTGCATTGTTAATATGCATAATTGCATTTGTTCATCTTTCTCTGCAGTAGATAAGATTTCACTAACTTCCCTTGTATTCAGCAGTGGATGCCCTTTATTCAAGACCTTTGTACTAGGATAAAGTGAACCATGGTAATTGACCACATTGTCATTAGTTTTAGTCCTCTGTGCTCTCTGTATTAATTACTTAGTTACTTTTTTGGGGATTTGTATGCAAAATTCCAATATTTATGGTCCTTCTCTTTAAATTAATTTCCCACCCTTTTTTTTTTATTACATCGGGGGTGTTAGTATCTCAAAGTACTTCTCTTGGGACTCTAAATGTGCATACAGCCTCTTGATAAGCTAATATCTTTATTTCTTAGTATTATGGCAGGGGGTACTGACCATCTAAGGTCTTTCTTTTGGACAGTTAATGTGCCAAATTATCCATCCCCATCCACCTTCTCTGAGTCAGGGGTGCTGACCAACTATAAGTGCTTCTCCTATATAGTTTAAATATGCATAATTACAGTAACCAATGGTCACTTATGTTAGATTGGGATCTCATTTCTTTGCCCCATTTACATTACTTCAGGGGCTTCTTACTAGCCAAGAGTAACTCTCTTAGACCGTTAACGTGCATACTTAAATTCACTCTTATACCTGCACAGTAGATAAGGATTCTCCCCATAATATTTATATTCCAGCAGGAGGTGCCTACTACTCAAGATTTTGCACACTAATGCAGCTAATGTGCACTGCCTTCGTTGTCTTGTGCATACTCAGTTGTCCACAATTGTACCTTTTAGCTCAGGACTCCTGCAATTACTAAAGCCTTTCTTTTGGGACTGTGGATGTGTGTAGCTTCAGTTGTCCACTGTCCTTTGAGTTAACTTGGGTCCCTGAGTCTTTTCACAATCTCTAAGCTTTTACCGCATGGACTGTTAATGTGCATAATGACAATTACGTTAGGGTTCTTCCCCCTTTACACTCCCTCTGAAGTACTGCAGAATAAGAAGTACTTATTCTGACCCATAAGGTCCCAATCCATGGCCTGTTACGATGCATGATTAAATTTATCTGGGTTCCTGTGTACTAGAGAAGAAAACCTCTCCCCACTCCCTGTATCTTCGAGCAGGGAGTGCCCCCTCTAACTTGGACTGTTAACACTTGAGCAGTCAAGGAACACAATTTTAACTGACCAAAGCCATGCACCATGGACATTAATGTGTATAATTGCACATGGCTCATCCTATTTGAATAAGATACTACCTTCTCAGACCCCTTTTGTAGTACAGCAGGGGTACCGATCACTAAGGCCTTTTTTCATGCCTTGTGATTATGCATAATTGCATTTGCACATTTTTCCTATACACCAAATAAGGACACCCTTCTCCCCACTCCCTTTATCTTTTAGCAAGGAGTGCCCATTACTAAGATCTTGTATCTGTATAAGATACGTGGTTTTAATTGACCATACTGTATCCTTTGGACATTAATATACATAATTGCAACTTAGTTCATCCTACCCTGTTGTATGTCATTTGCAGTATGCCAGGGTTGCTGATCCCTAGCTTGTGCTGTTAATGTGCATAATTGCATTAGTCTGGGTTCTTGTGCACTAGACGAGGACATCCTCTACCCCTACTTCTCTGCCTTCTAGTAGGTGGTCCCCACTGCTAAGACATTTACATTTGGATGGTTAATGTGCAGAATTGTTTCCACAACTCTATCACTTCCAAAACTATCATACCTGCTTCATACTGCTGCAGGGGATACTGTTTTCTCCCAAAGTTCCTTCTAGTAAACCGTTAATATTCATAATTGAAATAGTCATACACCCTCAGCTTCCCTTTGCAGTACAGCAGTGTGTACTGATCAATTAAGGCCCTCTGTTGGACTGGTAATATGTGCAATTGCATTTTTTTCCTGTTTTGTGCACTCAGTAAGGACCCTGCCTACTTCCTTACCAGGTTCAGCAGGTAGAGTCCACTACTTAAGACTCTTTCACTTGGAAAGTTCATGTGTACAAATGCAGTTTGCTAAGTATGTGTTATACTAGAGCCCCGTTTTGCTTTGGAGTAAGGAGATGTTATTTACCTAATGCCATTTCTTTTAGACTCTAATGTGTATAATTACAATTGTCCATCTTTTTTGTTTGACTAGGATTGCATTCCCTCAAATCCCCTTTGTATGGGGGGGTGTTAACCATAAATGAGCTCTTCTCTTGAGATTATTATTATACAGACTTGTATTTGTCTGTGGATTTGTGCAGTGTGAAAGGATGCCCTATGCACCTACCACTGCCTTTGGATTGCTGCTGAGGAGCGCTATCATGACCTTCGCTCTTGGACAATTAATATGCACCACTAGCAATGATGGGACCTCTGTACCTGCTTTGTATATATCAGGGGTACTAAGGCCCCCTTCTTGGACTGTCAATGTGCAATTATCTATGTCCCCTTCTGTTAGATTTAGGATAACTTTCCCTTAAAACTCCTTTGCATTAATGCAGGGGTTGCTGACCACACAAAACTCCTAGAACTATTACTGGGCACAATGGCAATTAGCAATGGGTTTTTCCTCCTTGGCCTTGTTAGGCAAACACTCCTAGCCCCAATTTCCCATACCATAATAAAGTATAAACATTGCAGTATGCTGTGAACTTGTCCATCAAATAGCACCCCATACTCCCTCTCCTTTTGCATTGCCTCTAAGTATAAAATTCCAAGTAGTCATGATCTTCCTGTTACCTTCCCTCTTCCCACCCCTTGCTCACCCTTGGACCCTTCCTATGCACCATTCTCACAATTTCAGTTATTCATGTATTGGGCCACTAAATAAGATTGTGTTCTTCCCTCCCATCCCTACCTTGCCCCTTTTGCATCATTGCTGGTGCATGTTGACTGGGCAAGGCCCTTTCTCTTGGGCTTAAAACATTAATAATCCCAGATGTCATTGCATTACCCACTTTGTATTGTTGTAATGCCTCAGTTGCACTTTCCTTGGTCCCACCCATCAGACATGGACCCCTCCACTTTGCATTGCTTCTGAGTAGTGCTGAGTACCCAAACTCCTTTCTGTGTTATTAACACAGTACTGATTGTCCCATTTTTCAGCCCAAGATTTTCCTACCATTTTGATGTGTTTGTGCAGTGATGACTATCCAAAGCAGGCCTGAATCAGGTGGATGGACCTTCATTCCTTTTTTTGCATTTGTTAATGATCCCAATTCCAGTTGTCACATTCTGGGACAGGAACCATCCCTGCCCATTTCTGTTACTGCTTTATTGGGCAAAATACTCAAGGCAAGCCAGGCCTAGAAAGCTGGATTGCCACCCTTTATTTTGGATTTTCAATATAAGTATCAGTTGAAAATTGTCTCCCCAGGAAGAAAGGTTAGCATTGCCTGTATTCTTCCTTCCAGAGCAGATTGCCTGGCCAAGAATCTTGCTTCTCCTCTTGTATATTGCTATTGTACTGTGCCAGTTGCCAGGGTACAATTAAAAAAATGCTGTTTGCAAAGTGAAATTGTAAACCTGGTCATTGAATTTTTGAGGTCCAAAAACCTATTTATACCATGTACCTGATGACCAGTGTCTCTCATTTTATTAAGGGTGTTGGGTCTGTGGATAGACCACTGTGACTCTTTGCTATTCTAGTATTCTCAAAAGAGTTTTAAGAGTGGAACTCTTAAGACCAATATCTTTGGGCTCTACCACCATTTTAACACCCATTCCTTATTTGGGCTTTACCACTGTTCACTTTTCGAAAAACTACCTAAACTTTCTAATCCTTAAATTTCTTCATCTGAAGCATCCACCACCCCTTACTTATTTCAAGAAGATTGCTGTAAAAGAATGAAATGAGAGAACATATGCTGAGGCACTTTTGAAAACCATAGAATTATGGTTGATAAATCTATTACATAAATAAAATGTGCAGTTTAATTCTGCTAACTTAAAGTAGCCTGAAGCACTACATTGAAGTGAGGGCTTAGAAATGATGGGATCAATTTCCCTGTTTTATATTGAAAAATGAGCCAAGATCTAATCATTCTTCTGGACGTGAATTTCAACAGTGGGATAGCTGCTTGGTAAAATGAATAATATCCTAGTCTCTAGTGTGCAGGGTGTGGCAGAGAAGTATTTAATATGGAACTGCTGAAACAAATAACTAGTCGTCACAACAGCAGTTCTTTGTAATCACTGAAAAAGGATACTATTCCTCTGACAAGGATGTCAAAAGATCGGCCCAGCTCAGGGTGCAGTATGCACTACTAGCTCCTTGGACAGCTGTAAGAAGAGTCTCTGGCTCTTTAGAATACTGTAAGTACTACTGCTTGTAGCTATTAAATAATCTTTTCCCTGTTCTATTTTCTTTCTCTTAAATGCTACTCATGCAAAAGTCAGAGGGTCTCCATCCTTGTTCCTATCTCATCTGCAAATATATATATTATATATTTTATATAACTTATTATATATTTATATATAATCTCATTCCTGTGATGGTTGTATTGCCGAGGAGCTAATATAAGCACACTTGAAATACCTTTAGGGAATAATAAAGTGCTTGCTGTGTTATGTGAATTATAAGTTATAGAGTTTTAAAAAGGGAGCCCACTAGGCTTTGCAGTTAGTTGGATAAACTTAAAGAGGGAAGTGGGTTTACCTTTTCTTTTGGGTCCATGATATGATTAATACTGCAGCCATATGGGTAGTCCAGTTGGTTTATTTTAGTGTCATTTAGTTTTTACCTCTTTTGGAGGTATGAGAAGTGATTAAAAAGAGACAAGGCCTAGCTTGTTGTGTTTGGCTATATGCCAAGGCTGGGGAATTGTTTTTTATTTTTAATGTTTTTTATTTATTTCTGAGAGAGAGAGAGAGAGAGAGACAGCGTGAGCAGGGGAGGGTCAGAGAGACGGGGAGACACAGAATCCAAAACAGGCTCCAGGTTCTAAGCTAGCCATCAGCGCAGAGCCTGACGCGGGGCTCGAACCCATGAACCGTGAGATCATGACCTGAGCCGAAGTCGGACGCTTAACCAACTGAACCACCCAGGTGCCCCAAGGATGGGCAATTGTTGATTGTCAAATCTCATTATAAGCTTGAGCTTTTCAAGGTTCAGGGATTGGGGGTATAAATCTGATACGTTGGCATTTTATACTTTTTTATTCTATCTCTGCCCCGAAACATGAGTGTAGTGATGCCTTTTTAGTTTGAGATATTTGTAGAACCTATTTGTCAAGAAGGCAATAGAGAAATGTAAGTTTTATAAGAAAATCATGACACTGCCCTCTTTATGAAGTTAAATTTCGCCTTTCCCCGTTCCCCTTCAGCAGATGACTTGATAAGCTAAAAAGCTTAGCCCCCCTGATATAAAACAAACTAAAAAAAGTCCAGCTAAAAAAAATAACATCAAACTTGAAACTTTTGTGCATACTCATGCATCCTGGCAGGAGCAAGAAGAGCCATATTAATGAGTGGAGCTTCTCTTACTGCTTATTTTAATTCATATCCATATTTCCTCATGGCTTGTTTTCTACCAATGCCTAAAGACATCCCACAGGACTACTGATTGGGAGCAGTATACAAATGGTTCTGAGCCACCTTGGAAATGTGGTCTATGCCATGTTTCTCAAACTGAAGTACTTTGTCAGGATAAAATGCCTTTTAAAGGAATAAAATTTCTTGAGATCCTAAAGAATATATGTTTTGAGGAAGAGTGACTTAAAGTTATTTGAAATGTAAACATGTTTTCCAATTTTAGGATATCTTTATTAAAGATATATGATATTTTATATAATTTATGTAGGATTTAGGGATCCATGAGAATATATCCACAAACCCCCAGGATTCTTATCACCCCAATTTGAGAAACACTGGTCTATGTTTATGAGGTCTTTTATTGTTGCTAATCAAATTATTCAACATTGATATGCAACTATAACTATTTATTGGAATTTGTTTTAAAGGGATGAATTCTAAGCTGGGTCTGTACTCCCACTGAAGAGGAAGGATGAATCAATTTTAAGTGGATTGAAGCCTGCATTAGATAGCATCTAAAGGTGAATCTTGGAGTTATATTTTAATTCATTGCTTGAAATAAAGTCTCTAGCATTTATAAAATGGGATGCTCTGGAAATGTTGGCATCTTCAAAATTGATATAATCTGTGTTAACTCAACAAATACTTATTGGGTCATACACTGGAATAAATAACAAAACCAAAGACATGATTCCTGTCAAAGAGGATGCTAAAACGAGTAAATCATTATGGTGTTGGGCAATTTGATGTGTACCATAAACATGTTGGGAAATTCTGTGGGGCACAGAGGAAGAAGAGTGGAAGAAACACTCTTACTGAGCAAAGTGATGGCAAGGGGAAAATGAAAGTGTGACTAGGGAGCACTTTGGTCAGTTTACTAATAATACGTAAGCTAAAGGCTTATAGACACTACTGCAGTATTTTTTGGCTTTTTGCAAGTACATTTTGATGAAGCACATGTTTTCTTAGATAGAATCACTTTTTTTTTTTTTTACCATGGGTTTGGGGGCAGAAGGAATGAGATGTTGCAAAAGTGAATAAGAACATCTAGCCTTTGGTTCTGGTCCTTGGACCAAATCACCATCTGTCTCAACTTCAGTATCTAGGGATGGCTGATGAATTAAGACAGACTTGAATTGAATATCTCAATCCCTGAAAATGACATTTTGTCATTTGGAAAATTGAAGGCACTTAAGGATTTTTTGGGCATTTCTCTAAGTGGTTATTGTGATTTTATTTCTGACTTTCTTATAGAACCTTAATATATAGGATTGGAGGAAGTTTGCTGACCCTGGTTTTATGCATCTTTTCCCAAATGCCCCTTTAGTTTTTCTATCTTTCTGTAACATCTATTCATTTCTCTAATCACCTCCCTAAATTGTAGAAAACCATAAGACCTAGGGCTGCTATGATTAAGCATTCATAATTTTTTTTCAGGGTATCTGGGCCTTGGTTAGCAAATGTATACCTGCATGGGAATTTGACTTTGAAGTAAATAATTTTAAAAGTTGATCTGTGGTGTCTTCTAAAATATTCTTATTTATGAGTGTCCTGGGAATTTACCAGATTAAAGAGAAGAAAACTGATACCTGAACTGAGATAACTGTTCCCCCAAACCTTATAAGCTTTGTATGGTTAAACAGAGCTAATGCCTTCCTCTGCCTCAAGTCTTCCAGATGGGATTAGAGGACGACTTGATTTTCTCACTGCCATAGTTTTGGCTATAGACAAATAGCACTTAACACTGGTGTCCCTCAAAATCCAACTCATGTTGGGTCTTAAGTATTTGTTTGAGACTTAGCCTACTTTGGAAATGAGCTTTTGATTTCTTCATGATAGGATGAGAGTGAAGCAAATTTTGGCCAGTGCTAGATTTCTTAGATGTTGGGTAGACTTAAAGTATTATTTTGTTTGACCAACTAGAGTGCTATTCTAGTTTCTTTAGAAATATTACAGGCTATGCAGCAGACTCAAGTAATACCTTCTTATTGCCTAAAATATGTAACTGAATGCTTGTAATAGTTTGAAAATAAGGATATGACTGGGAGATCAGTGTATTTTACCACTTCTCATAAAATATCTAGGTTACTTTATCCATAGCTGTGAAAACTTTTGGTATACTCTATTTTTACATTACTGGACTCATTATCAAATACCTAGGTTGTTTTAATTCATAGCTTTGAAAACTTATGGCATACTATATTTTTTGTTAGTATGCTCGCCATTGTGTAGTGTTGGTATGTAATTATTCTATGATCTATATATACATTAGAATTTTCTAGCCTTACATGTTTCCCCAACTGAAAATTGTCTATAACTCACCGCCTTTGTTTTATAATGGATTGACTGGGTCCATCCATAAAGTCTGATGAACAAGAACAAGAGTTTAATTGCTAATTTTAGTAACTTTGATATTATGGATTCTTGATATTTGGACCTCATATTGTTTCAAGTTTAAAATTAACTACAATTAAATCCCTATAAAAAGAAAAGAAAAAACAAGTCTTTAGGCCAGATTTGTCAACAATGATGGTACCTACTTGCAGCAAAATCTGGAACACAGAATTACCAGTTCTCAGGTTCTATTTTGTACTTGCTTAAAAAAAAAAAAACCTGCATTTTTTAAGCCTTCAGCTTCCAGTTGGCAGATTTAAAAGGAAAAAAAAACTGTCTTATTTTAGAGGTTTACAGAATAGTTCTGAAGATAGTACAGAGGGAGTTTCTGTATACTCCACACTCATTTTTCCTTATTATTAACATGTTATAGTGCTATGATACATTTGTAACAATTAGTGAACCAATACTGATAAATTATTATTAACTAAAGTCAATACTTTACTTATATTTACTCAGTTTTCCCTTAGTACTCTTTTAATATTCCAGGATCCCATCCAAGATGCCACATTGTATCTAGTATCATGTCTTCCTTAGGCTCTTCTTAGTTATGATAGTTTCTCAGACTTTATTTTTTGATGGCCCTGACAATTTTGAGGACTAACGGTCACGTATTCCGTAGAATGTCCCTTTATTGGGATTTGTCTGATGTTCATCTCATGACAAGACTCAGCATGAGTTTTTGGGAGGAAGACCACAGAAATAGACTGCCATTTTTACTTCTCAAGTATATACTATCAATATGACATATCATTATTGACATTGACTCTTATCACTTGGCTAAGGTACTGTTTGCCAAATTTCTCCACTTAACCATATAAAATTATTTTTGCCCTGGGGCTCCTGGGTGGTTCATTTGTTTTAACATCTGACTCTTGGTATTAGCTCTGGTCTTGATTTCAAGGTCGTGGGATTGAGCCCCACATTGGGCTCGGTGCTGAGTGTGGAACCTGTTTGGGATTCTCTCCCTCTCTCTCTGCCTCTCCCCTACTCATGCACATGCTCTCATTCACACATGCTCTCTCACAAAGTAAATAAACATTTTAAAAAATTACTTTTTCCCTTACCATAGTGTATTTGAAAGGAAGCCACTATATTCTTTTAAAAATGGGGAGTTTTGCTCCACCTCTTTGAAGGTTGAGTATCTACATAAATTGTTTGGAATTCTTCTGCATAGGAAATTGATCTTTTCTTCCCCAATTTATGTATTTATTTAATAATTCACTTATATAAATATGGACTAATGAATATTTATTTTATATGCTGGATAATGATTCAGTACTTATTTTTTTGTTCATATTGTTCCAGCTTTGGCCAGTGGGAGTTCTTTCAGTTGGCTCCTTGAACTTAACCCCATCCTTGTGGGTTTTTGTTTTTGTTTGAGCTCTTTTCTTTCTGGCACTACAAGATGCTCCAGGCTTATGTGTATGTCTCTTATCCCAGAATCTACCATTTCTCCAACAAGTTTTATTCTTTTTATTGGAGAACAGTATTAGAAATTGAGATGTGGGTGTTATATGTGCTCATTGCTACTGTGGTGTTATGCTTCAATACCTTCTGAATTGATAAGAGAGAAAAGATATATGTATGCATATTATCTCATGTATATGCACATATCTATTAGTACTTATATATGTAATAATCTCTCTACTTTTAGCTAAACATGGGTTTATACAGAGATTTCCAACTCTAACCTATTATCCCATTAATCATTATAGTCTCTTGTTGCTTATTTGTTATTTTCTACCCTGAGAGCTCAGCTTGGTTGGGAGATTTTTTTTTATGTTCATGTTAGGGTAGATAAGTATATTGATAGTTTCCTCTATGGTTGAGTTTAGGAACAGTTTAGCTATAGGCTGATTAAAAGTTTCTGAAACTAAATATGACTGTTCTACCCTAAATGTTTCTCTAAGTTTTGAAACTTATAATAGGTTGCAGAAACAAACCTTTATTACAAACTAGGATCTATCCCAATTTCCACATTTTGCATCTCATTTTCAGATTAAATTACTCTAATAAAGGTAGGTAATCCGTTCCTTGGGTATGCATTTATTTTCTCAGTACTTTTTCTGATAGCTATAGTACCTTGAGAACATTGGAGGTAAGGAGGGAAGAGAAGGGCATATTCCTATGTGAGGTAAGGAAAATCCATTTAGTAACCTCCAGCTAATTGTCCAGAGTACCTACATAAGACCCAAGGAGTAGATTTATTTTTTGGCAATATGTAATCCAAATGCAATTTTCAACATTTTAGTTTTATTGGATTTTATTCAAGCTAATTGGTGTGCTAATTTTTAAATGTTCTGATTAATATGTCACATGCATTGCATATGGAGTAGTACATGTTAATTTGGATTGGGCATAATTTTAATATTTTATGTTAGATATTTGAGACACTATTTCTGAAATCTGTATAATAGGTTTGACAGTAGGGAGCTCTTGTCTCAAATTTGCCCTTTTTTCCCTCCAACATTTATTATGAACATTTTCAGAAAAGTTAAAAAATTTTTTTAGTGAACCCAATATACTCACCACTTAGATTCTACAATTACCATTTTGCTGTAGTTGATTAAACTTTTCCTTAAAATAATCCTTATGTCCCTTCTGAATTCATGGAAATAACTTTTAACTTAAAGAGCATGAAAAAAACTAAGAATAAAGTCTTTGTGCTTAGATCTATAATACAACTGTAAAACACAGTAAGTATGCAAAATAATAGTAAATAAATGGCTACTAAAATATGAAAATGATACTATTGTCGCATTACTTCTTTGCAGCATGGCATGCCTTTTCTCTCATGTGCTGTGTTAATACCCTTAACCAAATTATTACCCTTTTTAAGCTGCTGCAAGATCTTGTTATAGCACATAGCAGTGCTATTTCTTCCATTTGGCACAATACTCATTTATATATTGTTCTCCTCCGTTCTTTCTTTAATCAGGCAACAAAGTAGTACCACTTGCCACTAATTTGGCACTGAAATTCTCCATTTAAAAGTAGTCATCTAAATTTTTTGGTGAAATATAAACGTGGTAAAAATTTTTAAATAAAAATTTTTTAAATAAAAAATTATTTTTATGGTGAAATATAAACGTGGTAAAAATTTTTATAGAAACCTCCTATACACCTGAGTATGCTTGCCCATACCCCACAGTCAAAAGACCTCTGAATTGAGAGATAACCTGGGTTTAAGTACCACTTGGCCACCTACTTACTAGTTGTATAACATTGATGGAATCTCATCTTCAGGGCTCCCAGTGTCTTTATCTAGGGAATGAAAATTTCCAATTACGTGATCAGTAATACCCCTTCTAACTGTGATGATTCTGTGACTTGGCTAGCATTGGAATACTTGAACCAGCTTGCTAGCTATGCCACTAGGGTTTTAGGTCTAAAGTACATTGACGTTTTGTTGAGCTATGAGATGACAGATGGAGAGTCTCAAACTTCTTGTCAATGAGTATTGAACCCTAAAATATGGTTTTTTTTTAGCCAGTTCCAAAATGTAACCACTTTCTCTGGCTTTAGCTTCCCTTTAAGGGAAATGGAATGCATCTTGAATATGTCCTCAGTATAACAAAACTGGAAGGCTTTGATCTAATGCAGCCATACTCAGTAAATATGGTTCAGAGAGGCTCAGAAGATCTGGAGAGACTGGATTAGTGATTTCCTTTAGTTATCTTAACTGAAGTGTGTATAAATGGATTTGTACCTTGATCCATTAATTTAGAAATTCTTGGAGTAAATTTGCTTGTACATGGAATGCCCATTTACCATCATTAATGGGGTTTCAAGAAGGAGCAGAATAAATATGTATAAATATGCATGAATTGCCATGTTTAACTGGAAGACTGTATTTGGCGATAAAGTATTTAATCTTAAATAACGATGGGAAAGGATGTTGCCAAGAGATTTTGAAGCCTATTCTGCTCATATTGAGAACATCATAGAACATCAGTTTGGTTTCATTGGATATCTTATCTAGAGTGTAGAGTTGAATAATCTTTCACATACTACTGTTAGAACTTGTTTGATATTAGTATAAAGGTACTTATTGTATAGTAAGTAATTCCTGATCAGGAATCTGGATGCCATACCTGGTACTTTCCACACCATCCCTTACAAAGTGCTTTGTTTTTATTGTTGAGGATTTCTCAACAATTTTGGTATCTTCCTAAGCCCTGTCTTTTTTCTCAAGGACATTCCGAGTATGTGAAACCTGAGGACTGCAAGTAGCTCTCATCAGCTTCACATTCAGCAGATCTTTCCTTTTGAGAATCTGAATAAACTCCAAGTAATCTAAGATGATGACTTGCAGGCTACCTGGAAGATAAAAGGTAGTTTGTGGAGCTCATTGTTGTGGAAATTTTGTCTTTGGCTTTATGGACTTGAACTTCTTGCAGCTCTACTTTTTAAAAGAGAACATGAGCTAGTTGTTATCAATTCCTACTTTTTTTGGTCATATACACATATATTTTGACTTTACAGATGAGTTTGGCCTATTATTTCATTTATCCCTCAGCTAATCTCCAGTGAGGTCTATAAGGGCAAGCATACTTGATCCTCATTTCAAAAACAAAGAATGAGAGATGCAAAACAATAAATTGCTTCCTTTCACATCTCATAGCTACTTAGTAGGAAAGATAAAACAAACCTAAGCATTCTGATTATCAGGCCTTGAAATTTAAATTATTTCCACCTTCCTTTGGCAGACTAGTAGTTAAGTGTTGAGAATTTGTTGATGCATAGTACTAACTTGATATGTGTCATAGCCCTGTTTTGGCAGTCCCAATTCCATTGTCACTGCCATTCCCTTGTTTTAAAAAGTTGAGAATTTGTTAACTTGAAGAACCATAAAATTGCTTAGAGGTAGAATAACAGAGACCCAAGGTGTAAACTATTTACTGGATTCCTAGCTTTCTGTATGTTGTTTTTCCTTTTGCATAGATTTGGTTAGCTGTTGTAATAGGTGGTGTTTTATATGCCTGTAACCATTCTTGATTTCTCTGAATATCCTGGGACTCCGGTGGTGCCCCATTTACATTAGCTGTTCAGGAAAATGTATCATGTGGGTTGAGTAGAAAACAGTTTTGTTTACCTTGGCAGTGTTACAGCATCTTAATACTTGATATATAAAAATTTAAAAAGGGCAATACTATATAAGACTAGATGGAGAAGGAACTTTTATTGAGGTAGATTGCTCAGTTCTTAAAATAGTGCTTTATAAAAGAAGCCTGAGGCAATGTGAAAATTCTTAAAGAACTCAGAGTCAAATCACATGGGAGCTTTTCTAAGTGACTTGATGGCTCACTTGGTTGAGAAAATATTACTTCTATTATTTTCAACCCCTTGATTTCTTGAACCCCATCATAATTTATGATGAGAATAACAGGATATTAATAATATACCCTAGAGAAATGCTCATAAATGGATACTGTAGAATAAAGCATGGTATGGGAATTTGGGTTAACTATTCAGTTCTAAATTGCTCTTGGAGATGAAGGGAAATGTAAAGAATGGAGCTGGAATGAATAGAAGAATTTGCATGTTGTTAGTCTGCTAAGATATAGAGCACTACACAGTTCTAATTTTTCACCGCTCAATCCATCTGAAGGAAAGGGCAGACATGGTTTAATTTAATGATTAATCGCTAATTGGGACAGACTTTCCCAATGTTCTGCATTTCAGTAACTTATTTTTCTTTGATCTCTTCTCCAGATCTTCCTCTGAAGAATAGGTTTGTTGCTCTACAGTGTTAGTGACCCATTCCCTTTGACGATCCCTAGGTGGAGATGGGGCATGAGGATCCTCCAGGGGAAAAGCTCACTATCACTGGGCAACAACCCTAGGCTAAGAGGTTGTACCAAGATTCTTTCTTGGGCCTAGGTAGGAAGATGAAGTCTCAAAACAACTGCCACACATCAGAGGTGAGTAAGCTGTCCCTAAAAGCATAAAAAGTTGCTTTTAATTTTTATCTTGTTTTACATTGCACTTAGTTTTCCATTGAGATTGCTTCCATCATTATCAACTGTGTACATTTTGGTAAAAACAGCTTCCTAACTAACCTGGGAAGCAACTGAGCATGAAGTGGGTGAAAATAATGTGAAGACAGTAGTAGGCTACATGAAATAGGATGTTTAGGGTAGGACTAGTTTATGGTAGAGGCTTACAGCTGAATTATTCTTTAAGGAGAACAAGGGCAACAACTGCTGCATCTGCACCATTGATCATGGGCATATCATCATTTTGGACCCTCTGGTCCCTAGAGTCTTTCTTGAGGCCCTGTTGGGGAATTTTGCCAGTCATTTACATACTTCAAGATGCTTTGGGATGTCTTTTAGATAAAATGCAAAGCAAACTGTTTGCGAAGATAAATATCGTCTGTATCTTTTTATGCTGTACTTACTGGTTGATGGAACCTGACAGAAATGGCACAAAGTTATCTGTCATCAAGTAGGATCTAAAGAACCAGGACCCTGTATATTCTAGGTTGGTGATAAGAGAGGCTGATTAGGGGGATGTAGTTTGGAAGATTGAGGTAAGCATTCAGTAAGCAGTAAGCCCTGAGTATATAGGTTTTGTACAGATTATTCAACCAAAAGAATACTAGGATTGATGGTGTTTGCAGTGGTTCAAAGAGTGTTATTAGGCAAGATATTTTCTTATTTTTGCCATAGTTTCCTATCCTGTTGAATGAAGAATGTGTGTTAGTTTTATCTCTAAAGATATAAAAGCCTCAACTGTATAGGTTTCTAAACTTTCTGGAGACTGTTTTTATAGCTCATTAATTAGAATTTTCCCATAACTTTTGCATAGTACGCAGTTAATACTTCTTTATGGCATTTACATTGTTTACCTCTCATTTTTTTATAGCTCCTGATTGTTCCCTTCTTATCTACCAAATCATTGTCTCCCTAAAGCAATGCAGAGAGCAAGAAATTTGAACACATCAAAGGAAGATCAACATGCCTGGCATGCTAACATTTTAGAACAGCAGAATGAAGTAAGTTGTTAGTGTTGTAATCCTGTGAGGATCACTTTAGAGCTAATAGTTGTTTGTCCTATGTTTGTATAGGATGAAGTATGATGGTCTAACATGCAGGGAGTGCCAAATATGAGATCCAAGGATAACCAGTAACCTGTATTACCAACTAGGTTCACTGAAGCAGTTCAAAGATATTACAATCTGCATACCAGTTTTGTCAGAGTAATTGAATCTCACCTTGTCTCTTCTTGGTCTTCACTGTATAAATGCTTTGCCACTCTTAGAGACGTAAACTGTAGAAGCCTAAAACGAAAAGAATGTTTTTTTTTTTTCCCTGAAAACATGGTCCTTTCTCACATTCTTTTGTGAAAGCATCTACTGAAGTTAAAATTCAGTGTTAAAAGAAGCCCAGTCTCTGAAGCTGCCATTATAATTGTGAAGGATATGAATATGAAGTCAGTTTTTTTAAATGCTTTATTTATTTCTGATAGACAGAGAGACAGCATGAGCAGGGGAGGGTCAGAAAGAGAGGGAGACACAGAATCCAAAGCAGGCTCCAGGCTCCGAACTAGCTGTCAGCACAGAGCCCGACGCGGGGCCTAAACCCATGAACCGTGAGATCATGACCTGAGCCAAAGTCAGTCCCTTAACCGACTGAGCCACCCAGGGACCCCTATGAAGTCAGTTTTTTAAAGGGATGGGGAAAAGTGAAGAAATAAAGTGAAGGGATTGACTAGATGCTCTCTAAGGGCCCTTTATTATAATATTCACTCATTTGTGGCATCTTATTTGGCTCTTTTGGAAATCCTTACAAATAGTTGAATATTAAAAGATACACATTCTGTGTTTAAATCTGCTACTCAATAGGTGTATGGCCTTTGTCAGTTTAGAGTTTCTGGTTAGACTTGTATGTGAAACTTAAGTGAAATCATGTATGTAAATTGTTTAGTACAGTGTCTGACACATGGTAAGTAAAAGGTAACCCCAGAAGTTTTGTAAGTTCATTTGACACAACACAGATGCCCAATAATACCATCTAGTGGCAGGCAGAGTTGGCATGTTTTGATTCTATGTAAGAAATTTGTAAGGTAATAGTTTATAAATAGAAGACCATCTATATTGGTGGTGATTGTCATAATAATTATTATTGTTAATAATATAAGTAGTATTGGTACTGATGATACTTTATTGTGGTTATTAATGCATTTTTTTTGCTTTCTTTTGTTGTCTTCTTTTTGTGATGCTTCTCATATGCCTGTTGTGCCCCTTAATTTATCTTCTCTTTACTTCTTACCTTTTTTCTCTGAATGTCTGCCTTTGCTTATCTCTTTTACTCATAAGTGTGTATTTCTTTGTCTATTTTTTTCTCAAATCTCCTTGGTCTTCCTTCTCTATCTGAAGTGTGTCTCAGCCATTCCACGATTCTCTTGCAGTTTCTTCTATGTATCTTTGTCTTGTTTTCTTGTTTGTTCCTAAGAGTTGTCTGTGTCTTATCTTGGATGTCTCCCTCTAGTTTTTTCATTTTGTTACTGATTCTCTTTGCTTTCCTAGATCTGGTTCTTCTTTCACTGTTCTTCCTTTTGTGTCTCTGTGTCACATGATGTATGCTTTTTGTCCATTTTTTGTTCTGCCTATACTTCTCTTCTTGTTCTGTTGTGAACCCTGATTTTTTGTCTTCCCTTCCCCTTCTTGTTGGTTTGACATTTCACCTTTTTTCATTCTGCCTTCCCTTCTGCTTTTTCTACTCATTATCTAACATTTCTTTTCTATATATTTTTTCTGCCTCTTTTGCAAGACCATTTTCTCTCTATTTTGTCCTGCTTTGTCTCAGTGTCTCTTTTTTCTCTCTGTTTTTTCTGCTCTGTCTCAGTGTCTATTTTTCTTTCTGTCTCAGTGTCTCTTTTTCTCTTTTTTTTTTCCTGCTCTGTCTCAGTGTCTCTTTGTTTTTTGTGATTTTCCACTTCAGCATTCATCTCTGTCCTCTTATTTCTTCTCTGCTTTCCTCCTTCTACTCACTTTTCAGTATTTTAGCTTCTTTGTGAGCCTGTGTTTCCTCCTCTTTGACTTTATGCAGTCTTCTCTCCTTGCATATTTTTGTGCATTTATATGGTCATGTGTGTGTGTTTGTGACAAAGGGGCTTCCTAACCCCTTCTCATAGGTACAGTGTGTCCGTTATCAAGATACACATTGCAAAGCTGTTCATTATGCCAGGACACCCTGTGAGATGATCCAAGACCTATGATGGACAGAAAGTGGAAAGCCTATAATGGACAGAAGGCCCAAAGTAAAAGACAGATGTTTTGAGACTTGAGACCTGAAGACAAAAAATGGAAAACGTGTCTCAAGATAGATGGAAACTTCAGTCTTGAGACCATCCAAAGCCCTGACAGCCATGATGTAAAAAGGTGGCCCTTGTTGGGTAGAAGACCTGACTGAGTTGGATGGAAAGTTTAAGACTTGAGTTAGATAGAAGTCCAAAGACCCAGAGTAGGAGACTGAAGGCCTAAAAACAGGGACCCATTGAAAGCCCAAGATGTAAGACACAATGTCTAAGACCTGAAATAAAAACTTTAGCTTGAAGATCTAAGATCCAAGGATGGAAGGTCCCAGACACACATAAAGACCCAGGATTCCAGCCTCTCTAGATGGACAGAAGGCCGAAGAGAGAAATCTATCTCAAGGCTAAATTAGGTGGGGAGCTAGAAGGCCATGACACAGAATCTGAGAAGGATACAAGCCCCAAGACCAAAGGAAATTCCAAGATAAGAACGCTAAACTCCAGCTTTTTTCTGTTGCTATCTTTTCTGCTCTTGGACATTTTCATTTCTCCCTTGCCAGTTCTTATGTTTCCATTTAAATCCATTTTTTTGAGATGCTCTTTTTGATGTTGCCATTATCTTAAGGAAACATATTTTTAGATTGGCAATATTATGCTTGGTCCAGTCTTAAGCCAATTTTTATCACAGTTTTGGGCCATTTATTGTTTGCTTTGTTAATTTCCATTTGTTTTTGCCTCTAATCCACTTGAGAGAGACATATAGGTAACATTGTATTTCAGTCCTCCTTTTTCTTTAGAAGCTATAGGCTGATGAGCAAAGGCAAGAAGCAGTCTGTTATGGGAAAAAAAGGTGCCAGGCTATCCAGAGAAAATGTGAAGAGATGTTCCAGGCCAATGAGAATTAGACAAGAAATACCCAGATGTGCCACCCTGTTGAAACACCAGCCAGCAACACCTTACTTTGAGCTTGGGTGAGCAGGATTCCTGGGGTTTGGGATTCCTAGTGATGGTTATAAAACAGATGATTTGGCCTGGGACAGAGTGAGGCTCCAAAGAGGCAGTTTGTACTCCCTGCTCATAGTAGTGGCCTAATAATTTGGTAGACTGTGCCAGTACTGCCCCTGGGTTTAATACCCACCTTTAGGCTTAAAGGTGAGAGAACTTGGGAATATTTTGCAGGTTTAATCCTTTCCTTGATTTCTCTCCCCCTTATGATAAGAGAAGATAATTTGAACAATTGAGAATATAGGTGAAAGCACTGTAAAGCACAGAAAAATGTGCAAGGCATTCTCATCAATAATATATCAACAGCCATGCACAGCTAACATTTAAAGTGCACTGTCAGTTGTGAAACATTATGTAAATCAGGGATCATCACACTCTTTCTGTAAAGGGTCAGATGCTAAATATTTTAGGTTTTGTGAGTCACATGGTCTCTGACACATTTAAAAAAAAAAAACAAAAACCCTTTACAAAGGAAAAACTATTCTTAGCATGTGAACCAAGTAGATTCGGTCTGTAGACCATACTATCATCCCTGATGTACATAGCAGGGACTATGTGCTGAATAATATTATTTGTGTGAGCCTTTTCCTGTGCTAGGCTCTAAGGATGCAATAATTACTTATGATTACATCCAGGTGACCTGAAGAAAAATATGTGAATGTGCTTCATAAACTGTAAAGCACTTAAAGATTTATGAATTTCAGAGTTGATGAATCAATATTGACTACACAGTATGTACATTCTACTGTACATTCTACCAGGCACTGTTAATACAAAGGTTAAAAAGAAACCTGAATAAAGTACTTTGTCAGAAGTATGTAATAATATGCAGATATTAGGAATTGTTTGATCAATGAATAACTCATGTATTTGTGGCCATCGTGCTTCTGCTGCTCTGGTAATTTTAAGGAAAAATACAGTATTCCAGGTAGCAGAAAACACATGGAAATTGCTTTTAAAGCATAAAATATACTGTAAACATAAGGGATTAAGGTATTGTGATAACCTATAATATGTCACATACCATATTAAGTGCTACAGATGTCAAAGGGAAAAAAGTGTTCTCAATATGGAATTAAAAATTTCAGGTTATGAGGTGCATATTAAAGTGCTTTGTAAACTAAAGCATTGTATAGATACCAGTATGTTACATGTTTATAGTCTTTGCCTTTTATGGGCCAGGTATTGTTTGGGTACTCTGAAATTTAAAATAATGCTCCCAAGCAATAAGAAGGTGGGCTTATGTCCTAGACTATTTAGATGTAAGAAATTAGATATTGCTTGTTTTAATCAATCAAGACTTTAATGGTCATGTCAAATTAAATTATCACTAGTATATTTTCCCAGATTAACAGGAAAATATAATGATTGAGATTGTGCTTGCGCTTTCTAAAGTGCTATATAAATATAAGACATTAGCTGTTTTCTGTGTGAATAAAACTTTATGTGAGATTGGCATTGTCTCTACAAAAGTCTCATTGTATGCCTCACATCCACTATGACAAAGGTAGTATAAATAGTTATAAAAACTGAGGGTTTAAATACTTGTTGAATGAATGAATGAATGAATATCAGTTGCTTAGTATGTGGACTCACTATTATAGGCACTAAAGATATAACACAGATTTATCATTTCATGGTGCCTACAACTAAGAATAAACCAATTCATGTGTCAGCATTTTGGGAACTCTAAAGCATCATATAAGTGTAACTATTGATTTTCTGATTTGGTGCTGAGTCCTGGGCTTATAAAATTGTATCACAGTTATCATTATACTACAAAAAAAGTTGTAAAAATATGAGGAAGAGTTCTTAACTATTGAACACTCTGAATATGAAGAATTAATATCTGATAAATGCAAAACTGGATAATAATTATCTATTATGTGCCAATCTCTTTGCTAGGCATTAGGGATGTGAAGATAAACCATCTTTATTGTGTCCTAGGTAACAGCAGATAATGTATAAAATCAATTTATAAGTCTTAAAATGCCATACATATATAAGCAATATCTGCTGAATGAACATTGATTATTTACTCTCTCTTATCTGTGGAGATAACAAATGGGGATGCAGAAATTCATTATCATTATTACCGAACTTACAACAGAGATCTGTGTAAACTTACAAAGCCTGCAGTTTTATACAGATAGAAGGAAATAACTTGGCTTAATGAATGATTACTTTCTATGAGGCTCAGACTGTGCATGCTCTAGAATATAAAAATGATTTTATCCTTATGAGGTGTTCATAGGAAGAAATAAGGATATAGGTGTGAGATCCAGACTAAAAGTTACTTAAGCACTACTGAGCTTATTTAATGAAAACATGGGAAAAATGGAATTGTGCCAAGCAGTTTGCTAAATGTTGAGCTCCGTGGAAAGATAATATCTGAATTAGAGGGTATACTTGCTCTCTGGCCAGACTGAAGAAATGGGAAATATTTTTAAAAAGTAAGATGTTACAGTTCTCTATCAGTCTTTAAAATGTTGAATGCTAAAGGTGAAGGTGAATTAGATCATCCTGACCTGGCTTAAAGATATTAAAAGAGTAAAACTAAATGGCTCAGGGTTTATTTTAGATTCATATGATAAACCTAGAGCATCTTTTATGTGGAATACATCATTCTAACCCCTAAGAGAAGTGAAATGGCTAAGTCAAAAGGGCATCAGAATACAGATTATAGGTAAAGATAAAATATCCATGATTTTTAAGTAGATATTTGAGTGACTGTTTTATGGACAGTATTGCTAGATAAATTAGTTGAGTTGACCTGGTCCTGGTCCAGAAAACCTATTGACATGCCTTAGAGATTAAAAAAATAGAAAAATAAGGCATGTATGCTCGCTTTGGCAGCACACATACTTAAAAATAAGGCATAATTCTTTTAATGTTAAATGAAGGCATTTTTGCTAATTCTAGAAAGTCCCAATGTCGCTTGCTCACTGACCTAGTTTGAAGCCAAAAGCCTGATATAAGGGAGCACAGGGTTTGTTGTTTAATTCATTACTTTAACATTTTGTTTTGATCATAGATGAATGGTTTAAGATGAGAATTAAGATAAAACAAATGGTTTTAAAAATATTTTCTTATTGGCCTGACATAGAGTCAGGAAGCTACTTAGCAATAAAGATTTTTTTCTAGATTTTCCATATTTTGTAAAAATATATTTACCCCGTATAAAGTACTATTCTCAAATGCTGAGAATGAAGAGATTTAAAAGACCTAGACAAAAATGTGCTTTAATGTCACTAGTTTGTGGTAGAAACACAAGAACTAATTTAATAAGAGACTGCAGTTGAAAAAAGTTTATTGAGCAGCTGCGATAGTAAGACATTGAGAACAAATGATCACCTTCTGTTTGGCATGTTTTGTGGAGTGGGAGTAAGAGAGAGCTTTGAAGAAGGTGATGTTAAATTGGAACAGATCTGGTAAGAAAGGCACTTATTTTGTCTTGGAGATGGCAATAGAACAAAACAAAACCAAAAAAACGGAATGAAATTCTTCCTTAAATGGAAGTGTCTATTTCAAAGCATTGTGTGAATTCCTAGACAGAAAACAAAAAACAT